TGACTTTCGAAAACTTTAAAAACCCAAACTGAACCGTTTGCTCTAAAAGGCAGGAGATGTGGGCAGGGGGGCCAAAAAAATCACCTTCCTTAATGGGATTTTTCTGCCTTCAGTGCGAGATGGCTTTCCCTCGGGTGAAGCCGGCTCCGGACGAAACCTCCTTCAGCGAAGCCCTGTTGAAGAGAAACCAGGATCTTGCTCCAACCTCCGCTGAACAGGTGGGCCCCCAAGTTCCTCCCAGGGCAAAATAAAAATATGTGGGTTAAAGTCGGCGACAGGAGCTTAACATCTGAGTACAAGTCTAATTTCCCTATTTTAAACGTGCCGAGAGGTGGAGAATTAAGCCTTTTAAGTGCTCTTTTTTTCTCCCCCCTCCTCTTCCAAATTAGGCCTCCATTCTTTCACTGGTCACGAAGATCAACAATGTGATCGACAACTTGATTGTGGCACCAGGAACGTTTGAAGTGGTGAGTAGGAGCGTGGAGAATGGGTGTGTTTACCAAGCCAGCATTCAGCCGGCCAAAGATTAAGAATAGTTACATTTTTATGTGGGGCTTCTTGCTTTGCGTTCCAGGTTATAACTTCACTGCAGTTACATTTACACCATGGCCACGTTTGAACAGAATAACAGAAAACAAGATTGGCAGGGACCGTGGAGGTCTTCTAGTCTAACCCCCTGCTCAGGCAGGAAACCCTGTTTGATTCATTGCGACCTTTCTTTGCCGCTTAGCAGTGTGGAAACTGCACCAGTTGTGCTTTGCTGCAAACCCAGAGTAGATTAACTCAATAATCCGGTTCCTATGTGAATTTCGGCTTTCTTATCCTTGGCCCTTGATGGACAGGGTGTATTCACCAGCTTTTAACACACAGACTTGTGAGCTTACCAACTGAGCCCCCAAATGACCTTCCCGAAATCCCATTTTCCCCCATCTTTTTTCTTTCTTTCTCCCCCCTTCCCAGCAAATTGAAGAAGTCCGCCAGGTGGGCTCATACAAGAAAGGCACCATGATGACTGGCCACAATGTGGCGGATCTGGTTGTGATCCTCAAAATCTTGCCCACATGTAGGTGTTGGCCGGCACGGAAGGGAGGAAGGTGGGGTTGGGGGGGGGGAAGCCACAACCTCCTAAACTGACCTCTGCCTTCTCCTGCAGTAGAAGCCGTTGCTGCTTTGGGGAACAAGGTGGTGGAGTCTCTCCGGACCCAGGACCCCGCGGAAGGTAAGCGACGGCTCCCGCAGAGTTACGGACCGCCCGGCTGGGAGAGGTCTCCTTTCCCAGATAACGGGATCCATAATCTCGTGAATTAACTTCCTCTTCCACCTCTCAGTGCTGACCATGCTCACCAACGAGACGGGCTTCGAAATCAGCTCGGCGGACGCCACGGTGAAAATCCTCATCACCACCGTGCCCCCCAATCTTCGCAAGCTGGACCCCGAGCTGCACCGTAAGTGTAGC